AGGGGAATGTTTTTTAAAAAAAAAAAAAAAAAAAAAAGAGAGCAAACTTTCATATTTTTAGGAAAAGACTAACAAGTCCTTCCAGAAACTTAACAGCTATAACCAGAGATGACTACAGATAACTGTAATAAAAGCCAGCAAATAGCAAAGGTTAATTGCTGTTACAGAGACACAACCTTAGGAGACACGTGGCTGCAGGGTATTTGTGTCTTAGGTGGCATTCTGTCGTACAAAGCAAGCCAAGGATGACAGAGGTGACAAACTGTTAGAAAAAAAAGTTGTCCATTTTAGAAAACAGACCTTTCTTGTTATTTCAAAGACACTAAAATAACTCCGTAAAACTCAGCTGGGAACATTCCCTTAATGATCCGGGCCACAGAGAAACGGAACCTGAGGAGACAGATTGCTTAAATTTACTTCTGAAACAGAAGATTTGAAATCACCAGAATCAAAGGCACTGACAAATAATGAAACTAGCTCACTGGGACTAATGAACCAGGAGGCAGCATCTACCAGAGGGTGTTTATGCACTCCTTCACCTTATCTTCCAGTGTCAGGTGCAGAAAAAAAAACAAACCCAAACATAAAAGAAGCCTCAATCATTAAAAAGTTGTTTCTGTTCTATGTTGCACCCTCTGGAGCAAAAATAGAACATTTTTTGAGTTTTACATTAGTTGTAAGAGGTTTATGAAAGAAGTTTTCTAACGACATCCATGGCACTTGATCTGCAAACCTTTTCTTTCTCCAGTAGGTGTCAAAGAGCTGAAAGGACTTACAGAGCACCGAGTGCTTTGTGCCCGATGGTCGCAGAGTAAGGTCACGCCTGCTTATGCCATTTATTGCTGGGATAGCCCGTCACCCTCTCTTCTGTGCAGTCCTCATCTGAGACTTCCGAACACACGCTCTTGCTATGAACCTCCTTTCATTTTCAAGCAAACAATTCAACTTGTTATTTACAGTGAACTAACTTTTTAAAATTACTGTAGAATGTGAAATGGGGCAGCTTCTTTCCAAGTGCTAGTCCTACCTTGAAAACTGCAGCACTGAAACAACAATCAGACTGTTCTATTTACTATTTACAGTGAACTAACTTTTTAAAATTACTGTAGAATGGGGCAGCTTCTTTCCAAGTGCTAGTCCTACCTTGAAAACTGCAGCACTGAAACAACAGACTGTTGCAGTTCATAACTCTTAAGCAAAAACCACAGAGATGCACATGAGATCAAATTCCAAGCAGATGAAGAACTGAAAGGTCCTACAGAGCTCAGCTGTGCCTGAATCCATTTTGTTTGTTTGTTTTTGTTTTGTGCTGGTGGTGAGTTTTTTTGGACCCCTGGCAAAGCAGTTTTTTGGAAGCACAAGCTCCCCAGCACAAGATGGCATGTGGGAAGCATTTTTTTCTTGAGGTGCAAGACCAACCAAACACACATTCCTACGCTGAAGCTCGAGAAGGCGAAAGACTTCAACCATGAACACGGCAGATACTTTATAACCTTTAAACATTCTGGCCTTGGCCAATGTATTAAAGACATCAGGGTACTCTGAAGGAATGAGCGGAGTCCCTCCGCTCTCTTTCATTCTTCCTTGTCTTCTGTCCCTCACCTCTCTTAGATGTTTCTAAGAACATCTTATAATACGAATTTTGCAAGCTCCCCCCCCCATTATTGTTGAATTCACTTTCTTCCTCCAGGGAAGCTCAACAGAGTAAGGTGATGTTGTGCTGGAGCTGCGATGGTCTAAGGATGTAGGAAGAACAATCCAGTTTGCCAGTGCAGCACGAAACAGAAGGTATAACACGATGAAACCAGGGCGAAGGCAGCATTTCTGATGTCAGCCAGCTGTACCGCGCCAGTCCAGCTCCATGTCAATAGTCATCTGTCTCAAAGAGGAAGATCCCAGTTTAGTTGACTAAACACAGTCAAGTACACAATCTGCTTCCCAGGAGGCGCTGTGCCTCCCCAGCACAAGTGATTTCTGTTTTCCTTGAATCAAGCAAGACTGGGAAGTGGGAGATGAAAGAAACAAACACATTTTAGGAGTATTGAAACTGACCCAAGGAGGGGATGAAGGGCTGCACAGAACCCAGTTTCCGCGGGGAGCTTCGTATTTCCCTGGGACTCTGCTCTGTGAGTCTGAAGAGATCATTTCTAAGTACTGTCCTGATTAGCGCGTGAGTACTTGTTTCTTGTACTTCAAAAGGTTTACAACCTAAGGAATATGTAATTTTTCTTGGAAACAAAAATCTAAAAAGTGAGAATCCTTTGGGTATCCCCAATGAAATTAAGTTGAAACACTGTACTCATACACTATAGTTTTCTTTTAAAATACAGAGTAACATGCAGATTACAATGAACAAAGCATGGTATTTTTATAGTGGTTGTAGTAAAGCCAGACTCAAAGCTTGAACTATACGCTGCTTGCCAAATATATCTAATCAAGTTGTAAGAAGATGCAAACTGATAACTTCTATGAAAAGGATTCTCGTATAATGCAATAATACAAACATGCCACACTAACACTGGCTTTGTTGTTATTTTTAAAGACAACTGGAACTATGCTGAGATATCAGCTCCAAGGTGAAATCTCGGTATGCAAAGCGGCCAATGGCCGCTCATGAAACTCTCAGCCACTAACCTAAGCTCTGGAAAGAGGCTGGGAAATGAAAAATACTGCCAGTGTCCAGCATTTCCCCCAGGCTAGCCCTAGGCAGCTTTCTAACGCAGCGTACAGGGTGCCAAATCCTCCCTAGGATATGTTTAACTCTTCCCAGCTGTACACGAAGCCTGCGTGATCAATTTATGCACCTTATCACCGTATCTGGGTTAGGTACTTTCTGTTAATACAAATTTATACCACGGATCAGAACGCCAGCATCGCGCGCTGCCCGGTGCTAGGGGAAGCTCACACTTTGCTGCTGCTGGGGTTGCAGTAACATCAAACCAAAGCAGCAAAACTCCAGCATCATTCTTGCGAATGGGGTTTCACATAAGATGACCAAGGGGAAGTTTGGACTTCACCCCCCTCCCTGAGAAAACTCAAATTTCCCATTCAAACATCCTCCCAGATACTAGATTTGTCGAGACCAACAATTATTATGTTTTACAGTAGGGGATCAAGCATGTTTTTAAAATGACTTATTACATATAACTTCACATTGAGAAATGTTAAAAAGGATTAATGTAAAACGGTAGGCTTAAACCATTTTGCATAGACCTAATTAATCAGAAGATTATTTTTGGGAAGTTATGTTTACATGAACTGAAGTCAGCAGAGAAGTTTCCCTGGCAACAAGAAATGGCCCACTTAATATGGTAATGATGATATTTAATTGAGACCAAAAAAAAATAGGCTTTGACTGATATCAAATCACGGTCCTACTTTTTCCTTTTTCCGAATCAGAAAGAATTATCCATTTTGTAAGTGGAGGAGGAAAGCACCAGGAACACAAGAGCTTGAGCTAGGTATCTTCAGCAAACCAACAGCATAAGTTAAGCTATTTCTATAACTTAAAATTTGCAGCATGCTAGTTACATTTTAAACAAAAATCCAATTTGTTCTTGCTGACTCCTGCCAACATTTGGACTTTCCCAATCCTTAGGTCTTCTAATATTTGAAAATATCAGCTAAACACCTGTTCTCAGCCACTAATGACAGAACACACACAGAGGGGGGAAAAAAGGAACCTAAAGTTTAATTGAAGTTGGCCACAGGAGAAAAGTGATCTGAAAAAAATCTAGAGAAGAGACTGGAGAGGGACTGGCGTCCCTCCCTCTCACCTCTCCCTGCTTTAGTCACGTTTTCAGTTAAGACAACAGTGTCCCTGTTCCAAGCAGCCTGGAGTCTATACGAGCATACAGTTTCAAGGATATTTAGATAAAACACCCCTAATCTGAGTGGAGGCAGTGAAGCAAAAATAAGAATAGCCATAAATAATAACAAACTCAAGTTATCTGTTTAGTTGATCCAGTCAAGTCACTGCCATAATAAGAGAGATATGGTTGTGTGTTTACAAAAATCACACACTACTGAATTTAAGAGAACATATTTTCCTCTGCTCAAAATAAGTTTTTTTTGTTTGAAACAGAGAGAATCTAACTCTACAAAATGCCGTAGGTAGGTAGTAGGTCCATGAGAATTCACTCCTATTAATTCTGCTTCCAAGCCCAGTATGATTTCTAGGCATTAGTTAGTCACACAATGTTATCAGATGTTGTTCTTTTGCTATACAAAAATGTGAGTTTTGTGGTTCGGATTTTAGGTTACAATTAATTGCAGAGGAAGGTACATACTATGTGCATAAGAGGACTTTTGAATGTAAAGATAAGAGTTCAACTTCATGACAAGTCATTTAAAGAGTATTTTTCCTTTTTGAAGGCCTGACTGAAGAATGACTGTTCACCACAGAAATGATGAAAAACCTGGCTTTACACAGTCCTGAGCAGAATGTTTCTGACATCAAGTTCCTACTGTAGTTTAAACAGAATATAGGCTAAGACCAGAAAGCATATGACATGTTATATGTTAAAAATAATTATTGACATAAGACAAAAAGCACACAAATAAAGATTAAACATACAGGACCCCTGTTACTGCCTTCTCTCCTTTATACAATTTTACACTGTACAGCTGGATTTTCCTTACCTGTCTTCTTTAATCACATCCACAAAATGAGCATCTGTCTTTTCTCTGATGTTTTTGAACCTCAAAGGAAGGAGAGCTGATTGATCCAGGCTCACTCCGCCCCATCTTCCTTTCTCTTGCAACATTTCATAAAGCGAGGTTTGACTATTGCTGAGCTTTTCTTCCTGTGGAGGACTCAAAAGTCCGTTTTGAGTCTTTGGACTGTGTCCTCCTGGAGCCTGAATGACAGAAAGCAAAACATAACATGGGGAACATTAGTGGTTGAGAAAGTAGACAGAAGAGGTTTCGTGGAGCAAAAGTTGAAAGAAGTTCTTCCCTCAACACCCTGAGCTTTTGCCTGATTGCGTCAAAGACCTAACTGCACCTGCCTTGAAGTCGTTCACATCTTCTGTAAGTGCACGACACCTGACTAGGCATCTTTTTGCTTTTTATGTACCAAGTTTCCAAGGTGCAGAAAACAAAGTACATTTTTTTTTTTTACACACGCAGTGAAGACCAACCACAAGCCCAAATTTCATTCACTCATCTTAAGGTCAAGATTCTTCTAAAGAGTTTTTTAAATACCTACTTAAACTGTGCTATCTTTCCACAGGTCATGAGACAACTTTCTCTGCCAGCCCTTGCTGATCCTTCCACCGACCACTACAGCCCTGCTGCTCTCCCCGACAGAGCCCCCTCCTTTCTCCTGCCTGTGGGAACAGCCCTTTTGTACGTCTCATCACCCTACAAAAAAAAACTATCCTGCAAATTAAACTATATTTTCTTCACTGACTAAGATATAATTCTTCTTTCTGATTTTCTTTTGCCTTTGTATTAATTAATACTGCATTTTTAAATTTTGACACCAGCTTGCAACACAGCTTAGGTACACAGTATTATCAATTCTGCTTTCATTCATTTGAGAGCACAAATTACTTTCAATCAAAAATTATTCTATTTTCATGGAACCTGAAGTTCCTTCTTTCACATTTTCTTTGACCTAGACCAATATGGACTGAAGCAATTCCAAAAAAATTAGACAACTAAATATGGTTACAATGAAAATGAACTGCAGTTAGTCAGGATCATTTTCAAATGCAAACATATATCAAACTTAGCATATTTGAATGCTCATCTCCCCCCTCCATGTCTTATCATTTATCATGTATCATTTATCCCCATTCTGAAACCCACTCATGACAGAAGTTTCTTCATTTCTGCCTGTAAAGCAGTCAGCACAGCAGTGACAAGCTCCTCCAGAAGACTATTCTTGGACGCCACCGCAGTGACCATAAATAAATACCGTAAATATCATCATCATACCAACCATGCTCTGAAATATGTTACTTAGATTGGAAAATCAACTTAGTTAAAGTTAAGAAATATCTGGTTTCTGGCTGCCCATGCAAAATTAATTCAACCTCCTTGTGTATCTATCCCGTAAAGCAAATGAGGCACATGAATACAGGCAGGTATAATTAAAGGTGCAGACACAACCAGTGGAGATACAAGACTAATGGAGCAGCAGGAGAACGTCACCTTGGGCAGGGAAGAGTCAGAAAGCACTCGGGCTTGGCTCCCTATCACTGCCAAGACCTCAAGAGCTAAAGTCATAACAAGGTGTGTTGGAATGGTTCCCGGGAGCGACAGGAAAAGCAGGAGGACGGTGGGCTGTGCTTCCCCTTCCTCCTGCCCGCTAGGTATGCAGGATCCCCACCCTGCGGGCTGCCCCGATGGAGGCGTGAGCCCCTAGAGCCACGTGCTGGGAGCCAGGAGATGAAAGGATTCCCAGTCTAGTCCCTTCTACCACTCACAACAGTTGTTTTGGCAGCTTGCAGGTGTTCACAGCCCAGTGACAGCAGCTGACAAAGTAGAATAGGAAATTTAGTAGTTACCTTGGTATGCTGCCAATATTTTGCTAAAGAACATAATCAACAGAAGAAAAAGGTGATTTCAGCAGCATGTGTCTCAGCAAAAGCAGAGCAAAAACCCTTGGACCAGATACGTGCTTGCGTATGACAGAAGGGTACTCTCCTGGTAAGCCAGAGGCACAAGAATTTCTCACATAAAAGGTCACCAGTTTCTTTTCTAAGGGAAAACATTCAGCAGCTTCAGAGCAAGTCCTCCTGCAACCGTAACAGCTCACCTAGCCTACCGAGAGGGAACACCGCTATGGAGCACAAGACGTACTGCAGTGCCAGGGTAACACCTCTGTTTTTGAGATGAGGAGTACTAACAAAAGCAAACCAAAGAGAACTGCCCAACAAGTTGCTAGAAGTGAAAGGTCTTCATTATTTGGGGTTTTTTTTTATTTTATTTTATGCTAAAGATTGTATTTGCTCAGAGCACTTCCCAGAACACCTTGAGGACTAAAAAAAAAAAAGTCATAGTTATCACCTTTTTTTTTTCCTGGTAAAGAATCTTTCTCCTTTTCCTCACCCCTGCAGATGTCATTACTTGAAAAGCAGTAACGGAGAGAACACAACTTTTGCTATGAGTGGCTCAAATAAAAGATATGGACTCTGTGCACTGTTTGCTTTCCCTGTCTGTTCTTCAAGTTCATCTGAAGAATGCAGCGAAAATTTCTGCTCTTTCAGAGAAGGTCAGCATGGACTTCTCTTGGCCTTTTCTCTTTAGCTCCTTGGCAAAGGCTCAAATCCCTAAGAAAATTCTTCCCTTCAGTCAGCTCAAGGTTTTCCTGTGCTGTCTCCACTCTGTTAATCTTAACAGGAGGGGATTAGAGTGTGAAACTGCTTGTAAGGAGAAAATCCCTATTTATTAAATGTTGTTAGCTCCAACGTTACTGTGGTTTCTGATGGCAACAGGCTGTACAGGTTTTTTTGAGCACTCGGAGATTTGATGTACCACGCGACGGTTTCCTCTCATCAAGAGACAGGGAGGCTTCAGAGGCTGTTGGAACCCACGAAGGTCCAAGGACACGGTTAACATCATTAACATTCCCTAAAGACAGGGGGCACGAGTGCTGCAGGGCCAGGCACAGTGACATGGCATGGGACGGGTACAGACTCCAGAGAGGGACCTTATGGTGGTTCTTCCCAAGAAAGCTGAGACTGCAGTGACATGGAAATCAAATGCCATGGGAAGTTTGTGCGTTAGCTGTTCTTTAAGCTTTCACTTAAACAGGCATGCCAGAGTTACTGGTAGCCACTTAACTGGTCCAATTTTTGACTTAGCAATAACTAAATGAAATCAAAGAAGGATATGCGATTTGGTCTCCACTAGCACGTTTCTTCCAGTGAAATTACGGACATTTTATTCAGCACTGCACAGACCTCTTCTAAGCAAGGTTAGATGACTTGCTGATTAACACACATGAAGCTAATACAGCTGTAGTAGGAAGAAACTTAAAGGATAATTCTGATGAAGACAACATATGAAACGAGGCAGTTGGTACCTAAGGAAAATCTCTGTTTGCACTCGGTTCCTGGAGATCCCTGGCATGTGGGCAGAGGCAGCCTGGGGAAGAAGCATCTCACGCATACCATCTTGGCAGCCTGGGCACATCTCCCACAATGTTTTCTGTCTTAAAGATCTCATGCTGTTCCGAGACCAGTACCTGCTGGCCACTCTGCTCTACCCCTCAGAGCTGAAGGGATTATTATTTTATTTATTTCTTAGGCTGTTTCCTAGGAACCCTGGCACAGAACATGGTCTACTGTCTTACAAACCATTTCAGTCCAGTACAGTAAGGCAGCCCCTGCTTCTGAGCTTACAATTTAAGCATAGGAGACAACAGGTCAAATACAGGCAGAGAGCAGAGGGACAAACACAGATTAATGTAGTAGCTCATCAGTAGAATAAATGCTGGCAAGTTTTTCCATTAGCTCTATATGCGAGATGAGTTGTAAAGACAGATGCGAAGAAAAAAACCAAGATAGCTATCTCCGAATGTGTTTATAAAATGATTCTCCCCAACAAGGGAAAGCATTAAACTTATTTGAAAATATAACAATCAGGTGATGAGCACTGGTATCCAGTCTGCATTTAGGCACGAGCTTAATATTCAGGAAGGAGCGAGAGGCAACAGGCAGAGCAGAGAGGCTATGAAGGCCACGAACAAGATGACAAATAGGCACCACCGGGTATTGTAGAGGAAGTAGGTGGCTTCAGCAAGGATATCTAAGCAACAGGCAAGGAAAGCAGTCTTGGCAGCAGCATGCTGAATATGTAAGATGTTGTATTTATCGGTCAGAAAAAGGATGTGAACTGACTTAGATGCTGTGAATTTCAGCTGTGCGCGTGAACAGGAATGACACTGTCTTAGCTTAGAGCTACGATGCAGAAGACACTGGCAAGACATAGGTGTAACTTGTGGCTAGGTGACACACAGCCAACTGGTGTAAGGGATGGAGAACGTGGTAGTGTTGTTTGTGCCTCTTTCTTTGGGTAGCCTCAACATAACTTAGAGAGTCCAAATTTTAGGTCCTTCTCGGTATCAAACTGGGCCCATAAAATTACTAATAATTTTGAAAATGGGGGGGCCTCAACTAAATTTTAGAATACAACTGCTCAAAATCAAAACTGGTTCTGCTGCTTAAGAGCTTGAATAAAGGAATAGCAATACAAAAATGAGAAAGCTGACTGAAGCAGAGAAATAAGGGAAAAGAAGGGATAATATGATAAATACTTAAATTACCTTCGTACTGTTTTTATGCTCATCCTGACAACCATTTTGGATAGCTCCTTCATCTATGCTGACATCACAGTGGGGAGCAAGGGTGGTACTACATGAAGGGCAAGGCTGCAACGAGACAAAAAAATTTAGCCAGGAACGTTCTGGTGTCCTCGTAGTATTATGCAATTTATAATTCGGTCCACGTGTATACTTGCGGCATGGTTAAAAGATAAACAAAGCTACAGAATGGGAAGCAGGGAGCAAAATTTGACTGGAACAGAACGCACCATTTCAAAAATAAATCACAGATTTTCTGTTTACTGAAGCTAAATCCAATCCAGGAAAGCTTTACTAGTGTAAGAGCACAGATATACTGTAATCACTGCATACTAGCAAAGGACCTCCCCAAGAAGAACAAAATACTCTTTAGTGAGAGAAGTGCAATTTTCTTGTTTAAAAACTGCCTGCGAAAGGATCTGAATGGCATTATGAGTGAAGACTTAGCACAAAATGCAGCAAAATTCAAAAAAAAGCACGGAACACCATGATGCATTATGAACAGTACAGGGAAATGGAAAGCAACAAATCTGAAACTAATAAAGGGAAATACTTTTTCATATAGTGGTCTAAGACAGTAGAGCGGAGCTCAGGCTACCGTACATTGTTGAAGCCAAACACCCGGCAAATGTCACAGGAAACAAGGAAAGCAAAAACATCAGGACTTGTAACAGTTGCAGGTTATGCATTTTGGAAGCAACCTAAAATGTCCCACTTTGGCTTTTAAAACAACGTAACCCCTTAAAGTGTGATCTTCTTAAGGGGAATTAACCCCGTATCTGTATCTTGCACGTTCTTCATACTTTTCTCCAGTCCTGGCCATGTACAGGCAGGGTGCTGCATCAGAGGGACTGTGTCTGATCCCTATTGGCGACTCCTCCGCTCTGGAGGTGGCCAGGCTTGCCAGAAGTCTACTAATGGGTACAGAGACACCAGTCACCGGGAGCAGCGTGCTAAATTCGGCGCACTGTACTCAACGGTGGTAGGTGATCCACTAAACATCTTCATGAATTTTCCAACAAGCTACTTGAGCCTTTTGTCCCAAGCTCAACACCCCACATCCATTTTATGTTTATTCTGGACTCAGGAGGGACTGGTTTAGGCCTCTGTAGTTTATCATTCCCCTGGTCCAAAAACACAATGTCTTCAGGTTCACTCCCTATTTCACAGACCAGTGTCTATGTCTTTTCAGAACTGACTTTTCCATCTCTGGTGTCACACCTGAAATTGAATAATGCGGCATCTTCAATTTTCAGGTTGTTACAGCATGGCATTTCATTCAAAAAATCAGCTGCTATTACAGAGGCTAAAAACTATAAGTAAATCTATCTTCACCATTTTAATTACGTACATGCATTTTATTGATATCCATACTGCAACAAGGTTTGCAATTAAAAGAACTACAGATACACTGGAGGGGAGGAAGAAATACAATTCCTTTCATGGATCAATTACTGTTGCATTCTCCTTCCTGACTTTCCTTAACAGATCTTGTCTGCTAGAACATCCGTTCAAGCCCAAAATGTGAAAGTCATCCTTTGCATCCAATATGGCCACTTATTCCCTTTAAAACAAAAATATTTCAACTTGCCTGTAATTTTGCCCCTCCTACTTTTGCAGAGCTGGAGTCATCTCCTCCTACACTGACACTGTTTACAGCTTTGTATTTAAAACAGTTGGCATGTAAGTCATGATTCTTTTGCAAATTATTATCTCCAGACCCTACCAGCAAGCTGCAGGCTTTAAAAAGAAAAAAACCAAACCACTGTAAAAAAGAAACCCACTCCTTTTCAAAAATTGTGCATGATCTGTGATTAAATCGCACAGTTGTTCTTTGTGGGGATTTTTTAATATACATATATATTTATTTACTTATTTAACACTGTAAGACCTACTCTAGCACGGCTGGCAAATTAAGCATTCCTCGAAAGCTTGACCCAGGCTTCTCGGTCCGCAATCACTCCGATAACAGACTACCCAGCAGAGAGACGGCTGGTGCATATCTACACTTGAAAGCATGCTGTGGAGTTTGGAATACCTGTACCTAGCCATGCTGTGAGAAGCAAGTACACTTTGCACTCCCCATGCTGCAACTACAGTTGCAGAACGCGTTTTTAAGTAAGTGCTCAGCATTCACACGATTGCTTCATCACTATGCTATACGCATTCTGACACGGTTTGTGGCATGCATTATACGGATGCTTATCAGACCGCAGGGAAAGCTGACTTTGGGGTCATTCAAAATTCACTCCGGCATCAGTGTATTTTGGGGAAGACAGGCACACTATTTTCAGAGTTGTGAAGCTGCTTAGGAAATTACTGGCCAGACCTGTAGCGCTCATGGTGATGAATAAAAACAGGTACCTATAAACATAAACTTGACGCAGCAGCTTTAGCACAACGGTAGATAGGGTATCCAAGGCGGCTGAAACTGAGCTGGCACTTGTCCTAGATGCTCTTCTGAAGCAGCTTCTTTTAGCTTCTCCTTCGCTTATTTGCATAGCCACGTTTGCACTTTTGCACTGTGCAGACCATCATTCAGCATTTAAACAGCAATTAGCACCCAGCCAAGACGGTTCCAGAGCGGGGACTAGGCAGTAAACAAAACATGGTGGGCCAGCAGCATGCTTCCACATTGCATACTAGCTGTTTAGGAATAGTGATGCATCTGTATCTACCCTTCTGCAGAGTAAGTCACCCCATGTTTTAGAAAACACATACTATAGCTGAGCCTTAACAACAGATTTCATCTTGGACTTGAGTCGTTTTAACAGCATGTACCACAAGTTAATACATAACAAATTTTATCAAATCCTAGCTGCAGTCAGGTCAGTCCTGTAGTTTGCCGTAGTTTCACGGTCCTCCAGTTACAGCTTACTTCGCTGTCTGACATTAACAAGGCATCCTTGCTTTCTCTCAGAACAGCACCCTTAGTTTTACTGCTTTAATCCCTCCTCTCTCTCCCCTCTGCTCCACGGACAGGCAGCTCAGTAATACTGCTCCACTTGGTATGTTCTTCTTCCTTCACTACTTGGAATAAAGGAGTTTCTACCCCTTACTGTCACATCTGTACCTCTGCACGGCCGTGCACCGGGCAGCACAGACAGGCTTATTTGTACAGACACCCACTGGCTGCTCCGAGATGTATTTTCCTACCTTATTTGCTAGTACCTTCACTGAAAGACAAGAGAGAGCTGGAAAGCTGGTGCCTGAGGGGTGTCAAATATATTCTTTCTTACATGGGAGAAGGAACAGAAAATTTTCACCAGCAACTTGGATACAGTCAAACCACACACAGTGCATATTTTGGGGACGGATAAAGATGGCTACAGCTAACTTCTGTAGTTAAACAGTCCTGGCTTGCTCTGTAAGGACCTCACTTTGGACTGTATCTTTGGGCCAGCCTTTCAGCTGATCTCACTTGCAATCCAGTGTTTTTACTCCAAAATTTAAAACGTGGCACGGAAGCAGGGTAAAGGTGCCTGACCCATGCTCTCCTAATTCAGACGACAAACATACAAGCAGCAAAAATGGAGCAGCATGAAAGCTACCCCCCATCAACTCTGTCAGCTAAATCTCAAACCTGTGTTGAAGAGATCCTCTCAGGACTAAACACACTGAAGTCTAAGGACAGTGACCTGCAGATGACCACCCGTGGTTCTGACATTTGTGCCCAGCTCAGGCAACCCAGGACGAGGAACTCTTAGCACAAATTAAAATAGAGAATAGACATCTGTTGTTTGGGAAATCTGTTCTGAGCTGGAAGATGGAGAGTAACAGCAAAGCTTTGAAGCAATACACATTGTTTCACAGATTTCCTTGTCAAGAGATCTTGTGAGAGGTGTGAACATAACAAAATGTCATCATTTCTCTAAGCTGAATCCATACAAATCATTGCCCTCGGTTCTAGATATAGGTTTCTAGAGCAAGCAGATGAAACACAATCTCATAGCTTACCAGAGCATTTTCTCCCACCACACAAACAATCCTGTTATCTTTTTACGGGGGTGTCTGTTATATACTCATGTGAAAAAGTTCACAGGTACATGACCTGTATGATAGAGGAATGGCAGAAGCAGGGTGCAGCAAAAGCAGAAAACCATAGAAATTAAAGAATGTGCTTTAAGCAGCTACTGTATTCCCCCATAAAATCAAGACCATTGAAAAAGCAGCACTGATCTCTCAGTCCTGAAATATTAAAAAAATAAAATTATTTGAAATCACCTTTAAAAAGTGTTCACCTTACTTTGGGGATTCCTTGTCAATTGGCAAGGCTTTTTACTTTGTAAATTTCTTCATCCCTCAAACTACGTGTTGTCACTGTATGTATATACACACAGGTATACATACATATATACACAAATACATAAAGCAGGGCATCAACAAACCTGTAAGGTTTCCCCATCCACACATCTCTCCCTGGTTTGCACAGTTTGAGATCTATGCTGCTTGGGTTTGAAACAAGAACTCACCTTCGGTTTTTCCACATGTTTGAGAGTCTTTGTCAAGTCACTGGCGTTCTCGGCTGACGATGCTCCCTGTATCCTGGCTCCGTCTCCGGATTCCAAGCCAGGCAGCAACGCTTGTGAACAGCTGCAGTGGGGCTCCTTCACCTTCTGACCAGAGATCAGATAGGTCTTCAAACCTACAGAAAAAAGAAATGGAATAGTCAGAACTGCAGAAAGACAAAAATAACACTCCTTTGGACTCCTCAGATATGAAATACAGTAACTATCAAAGCACTATCAAGGCTCGGCAATACAGCACACGAAAAAAGACAGTGGCTGGGAACAACCACCAGCAATATAAAGATACTCTGTGTAAAGTGGTGGCAATTAGGATTGCCCAACATCTGCTCTCCCAGACACAAGAGACTACTCTAACACACAGCAACAGCCAGGGCTGACACGTACTTTCTTTATTCCATTTTCACTCAAGTACTTCTGAAAAATAGAGCTAAGACCTTATGTATTCGCTTCCAAGTTGTAATTTGAGCTCTCGCATTAACTCTTTACTTCTGGAAAGGATTTGCAGCCTGTTTTTCAGTGATATCTGTGTTAATATTCTACTTCTGAAAAATCAGCATGTGTTCCTCCACTCGCACTCTCCATTTGTCAGGGAGATGTCATGAAGATTGCTTAATGCTGGTAGCACACTGAGAAAGGAAATGGCATTTAAGTGCTAGAAATTCTGATGGGTTTTCATAGTTAGTGCAGACTTCACATTTTTAAAGAACAAAATCGATCTCTCTCGCACGTACGCCCACACACGCTCTCTGCAACTGTTGTATGAATTGAAGCATAATTGGAAAGCAGATCCAATATTAAAGGCCAGGCTGGTAAATACCACGCTGTATCAAGCTGAGCTGTATCAAAAACCTGTTCAAAAAAATAAAAGATCTGAATTTTGTTTAGAATATCGCTTATTTTACTTCCTTGAAACTTTGCGTTATGATGTTCTGGGTTATTTCTAGGCACAAAGACTAAGAAGGAGCTACGAATCACACTGCTTTCTGAATCCAAATGAGTTAATTTTATTGCCACTGTATGGGAAATCTCCCACTCAGCAAGGAAGGGCACTGATGTGCTCTGAAAAGCGTGGAGGTCATCAGCTCGCAGAACTGGAAAGCGCTCGTCATTTTGTGGTACCAGAGACTGTTGTCCCGTGTGATTCTGCAGCCAACCTCTCGCTCATGGGATGGCTGCTGGTTTTGTATTTGGGTCAGCTGTGCATCACCCCCCTCCCTTTTTCTGATACTTGTCACCTAGTTGCAGCCAGACACATGACTGTCACAGCCATCGACTGCACTCAATTGCCTCCATCCATAGGACGAAAGCTGGAAATAACTATGTCAAGTTGCAGCCCTTGGAAGAGGGCAGGTTTCTCTCATAACCTTCTTTACAGACAGAAAATCATATTCTGTAAGCCTTTTTTTTTGTCTGTAGCATGTAACACAGACAGTACTTTGTCTATGACCTTTCCAATAAAAATAAGTTAGACATACTAATAGCAATTTTGCAGTTTCTCTGTTTATTCCACTAGTAACTTGAGCTCCTGAACACTTCTACAACCAATGCAGAAACCCGCATCTGTATCAACCATTTCAACCTCAGGCTCAAAAGCTGCTGGGAAAGCTACGGTGTTCTCACAGCCTCTCCAAGCTCCAGAGCACTCGCTCTCCTATTTGAGATGTTAGACTATAAGCCAATCCTTATTTTTATATCGCTTATAGTAGCGCTTGGATTTTATTTGGCAGTGCCGCTTAATAAAAACCTGAGCTGCTGCTGGCTTCCAGATGTAGGGCTGTCTCTTTAAAACTTATATTGATGGGGGTTGTCATTTAAGGAATTCACCACAATCAGCTTACAATTATATGTTTACTGTGGTAAAAGCTAGAGCATTAAGCTTACGACTCCTATTTTTAAAAGCTACCTTAAAGCAACAGGATTATTTTACCACTCCTATTATTCCCCTATTTTTTTTCTAAACAAACATATTTTCTTTGTTTTTTGTATTTTTGAAAAGGCACTTTTTATGCCTTACTGTGCTGCGTAGCCTAATTATTTCGTCAATCTGTTGCATACAGTAAAATTATCTCCAGTTTGAGCTCCACACCGAGGAAAAAGGGAAAAGGCTACAGAACGCCAGTAATTGAAAATGCGTTTAGGAAAGCAGAATCCACCCTCGCCCCAACCTTAAACCGCAGCGTGCTGCGGCTCCTCGGCCCCGCTCCACCCCTCGTGGCAAACCCACCAGCCCTCAGCTGCTATCGCCACGTTTTGCATCGACAGCCGCTCGCTCCCGCTTTGTCCCACAGGCTTTAGCTGCAGGGTTTAAAGTTGGCTAAAACAGCCAGTCGTCAGCACCGAGAACTGACTCTAAAAATCTCTTTATTACCTCCCCGTGCTCCCCAGCCCCGCCACGTCCGCTGAATACGGAGTGTTACTCAAAATGGGTGGTTTGAAATCAGACAAAGAAAAGCCAATATCCTGCAGAACCACAGCACACGTTCAGTAAGAAGCCAGCAGGGCTACTCCTAGCGCTGAATGCAAGGTCAGGGTCTCAGGAGAGCAAGTAAGGAAAAAAGGTTATTTTTGGAAAGTTTTGGAAAATTAGGAGGTGTAAACATCTTTCAGCTTTACCGAACTTTACTAACATTGCCTATCTAATACTTCGTTAATTATTAAATCCTTCTCATGATAGGAAAATTTGATTGGCTTTAGTATTCCTTGCAACTCTGTCACACTTCACAAAGCAACTCCCACGTTCAGTCTGAAATATTTCGGTATAAAAAAAGGGGTAATTAATTCAGTAGAACTGTATCGATGTAACCAAAATGTACTATACGAGAACAGTATTATTCCTCCTTCTACATCTCCAGTGAATTAGTACAGTCAACACTCTGTCATTTCCCATACAAACGGTGCAGGGAGTGAAAAACATTCGCACCACCAGGCAGCACGTTTAAATCAATTAGGTAACGCAACAGTATTAAATGAATAAGCCAGCAACACAGGAGCTGCTATTTTATGTGAAAACCAGCAAACACGGTGCAATTTTTGGGGTGTGTTGCTGCGCAACGATGTAACTCAAGACACCGCAATGAAGAAAGCGTTATGAGATGCTTATGCTGCCATTTATAAAGGCAAAGCTCATTCTTTCTTCCCCTCCTGTATTCTCAATCTTACACTCATTCCCTTCCCCCAAATTTATTCAAAATAAATGCTGAAAAATAAGACAACCTCAAACTGCCTGATAGCAAATCTGTCCTCTGGCAGGCTTTATCCTGCAGCGCATTTCTGCTGTTTCCAGAGATGGCTCTTGGAAGCAAAGGCGGGGAACAGGCTACAACAACCCACCCCGACACACTAATCTAATGTATACAGTATTTTCTGCCCTGGGGAAAAAATGAGCTACATGGTTTATTTTTGAGAAACACAAGCCATTTCCTTCACTTGTCTTCAAGTTCTGAAAATCTGTAAGCGTTATAAAGAGTAACAGCTCCTGCACGCTGAGCCAAAACACTCATTTCTTGAATTCAACCATTTTGAATATTGACATGGCAGTGTTTTTGACAAAACAGTTAACAGGTAAGATCTTCACAGAACTACAGTGGGTTCATTAGTCCCACTAACACCGAATTTTAGAAGCATTAGGAAACTTCTATACTTGGCTCCTTTCTTCAGTTAGCTTTTCTTTTTATCAGTAGCATTTCTCTGAACTTAGAAAAACAGAAAACCATCCCAAACACTAAAAAAATACTCTTAATAACAATAAAAAAAAAAATCATATGCATGCACTCACACACAAATTATTTTCTGTATGCATAAAAATAAACAAAAGTATAAATAAGGCTGTGTATAAACATCCCCGCTTTCAACCTGGTTTTGGTAGCGTGAGAAAAGCCGCTCGCTGCGGAGCGCCTGGGAAGTTCATAACACGGGCTCAGGCAGGGGCAGGCAGAGAGCAGTGCTCCCTGCCCAAGCGCTGCCTCCCTGCCAGCCCCCGGGTTATACCCAGGTGGGTCAGGCTGGAGCGACTCCCCCATCCTCGACTGTAGCTGTGTTTGCAGAACAAAACCGTCTCAGGTAACTGGTGGGAAGTCGCTTGCTGGGAAGGAACGGGGAAAGGGAGGGAAAAGATGTTCTGGACCTTCAAGTCCTTAATGAAGTCATTTACGTCCTTTCTTTCAGCTCATTCATCCTCATGACTTCAGGACAGAAGCTGCTGTTACGCCAATCTAATCCCCATAAGTAGAGGGCATCCCCCCATGCATCTTTTAAAGATGGGATGTCTTCTCCTACAGGAGATCTCAAGAGATGAGGGGTTAATACAAATACTAATAAGCAATTCCTTGGTAAGACAAGAGTCAAGTTTCAATTTTTGATGCTTCACCTGCATGGAATTGAAACTTTTCAGCCCTCTATTGATAGCAGACAGGGAAATTACTCTCTCTCTGGCAAACGGAATGTGTCATACTTCTCACATCTCTAACGAACTTCAAATGCTTTTGAAACCCTTTTCAGCACTGATTCTGAGAGACACCAAAAAACGATGGCAATATTTCAGTCATGGTCTTACTGATTCATTTAATAAAAATGTAATCCCACTCTTATTATATATCCCTGTTCCTCCCTCCATGAATCGCTTCACCTTTTTAGTTGCAGTATGGGGAAACAGCATTTAACTAACCGGTGACCTTCCTTTTCAGAATAACTGCTTCCCAGTATACAGCCCTCTGTTCTGGAAGACTAGTAATATTCCTTGTATTGATGTAATAAAATCCAAATTGTATTGATTATGCCCCCTTTTACCAAATAGCTTTATATTAATGCTTCTCCTTCACTGTTTATCTTTCCATCATTTCCCTTAGAGTCTACATACTTTAATCATATCTTTTTCCAAGTAATTAATTGTAAATTTACAAAACTAATTGAGCTCTATTTTCGCACCCCTCTACTTTTGCAGTATCTTACCTCACAAAATTAGAATTTGCATGAAAACGGTTTCATCGTGAGAACCACGGTGACTGTCACTCCCACGTGAGAGCAAGAATTACCTTCCAGCTAGAAAGTAATTTTAATCACCTGCTGCAGTCTGCTGTGATGAACAATGTTAGCTATTATCTTTCAATAATTTAACATC